TTCAGACGATGCAGACAGATTTCGACTTAGCTGGCGAGTTGCTTGCTTGTTTGCTTGCTTGCTTGCTTGCTTGCTTGCTTGCTTGCTTGCTTGCTTGCTTGCTTGCTTGCTTGCTTGCTTGCTTGCTTGCTTGGTTATTTGCGTGCTTGCTTGCTTGCTTGCTTGCTTGCTTGCTTGCTTGCTTGCTTGCTTGCTTGCTTGCTTGCTTGGTTATTTGCTTGCTTGCTTGCTTGGTTATTTGCGTGCTTGCTTGCTTGCTTGCTTGCTTGCTTGCTTGGTTATTTGCGTGCTTGCTTGCTTGGTTGCTTGCTTGGTTATTTGCGTGCTTGCTTACTTGCTTGCTTGCTTGCTTGCGTGCTTGCTTGCTTGCTTGCTTGCTTGCTTGCTTGCTTGCTTGCTTGCTTGCTTGCTTGGTTATTTGCGTGCTTGCTTGCTTGCTTGCTTGCTTGCTTGCTTGCTTGCTTGCTTGCTTGCTTGCTTGCTTGCTTGGTTATTTGCTTGCTTGCTTGCTTGGTTATTTGCGTGCTTGCTTGCTTGCTTGCTTGCTTGCTTGCTTGGTTATTTGCGTGCTTGCTTGCTTGGTTGCTTGCTTGGTTATTTGCGTGCTTGCTTACTTGCTTGCTTGCTTGCTTGCGTGCTTGCTTGCTTGCTTGCTTGCTTGCTTGCTTGCTTGCTTGCTTGCTTGCTTGCTTGGTTATTTGCGTGCTTGCTTGCTTGCTTGCTTGCTTGCTTGCTTGCTTGCTTGCTTGCTTGCTTGCTTGCTTGGTTATTTGCTTGCTTGCTTGGTTATTTGCTTGCTTGCTTGCGTGCTTGCTTGGTTATTTGCGTGCTTGCTTGCTTGCTTGCTTGGTTATTTGCGTGCTTGCTTGCTTGCTTGCTTGCTTGCTTGCTCGCTTGCTTGCTTGCTTGCTTGCTTGCTTGCTTGCTTGCTTGCTTGCTTGCTTGCTTGCTTGCTTGATGGAGTGGTTGATCGATCGAATGGCTGCTTGTGTGTTTGCTTGGCAATGCGAGTCGGGCGCTTCAGCATTGTTTTGCTCGACCATGTGCAAACTGTTCTGTTTCTCATGTTCTTCTTGCTCGTCTCATCATTATCATCATGATATGCTTTCCTTTTCCCCTATTACCTTTTGTTTTACTCTGCGCTAATAAGCAGTGGGTGGTTGTTCCACATGTTCTTCCTGTTTCTTCGTCTCACAAATGGAATTGTTTGAGCTCATCGTGGACGACTAGGATAACAGTGAGTGTTGCTGTAACAATGCAGTAGCCTAGGAACCAAAGTGAACAGAGCTATGTCCCGGTAGAGATGTCCGCCACACATCTCAGGAGCATCGCGATGCCACAGGCGCCAGTCGATGCCGTTTCTGGATTTGTCACCGAATTGGTCGCGAAGTCTGAGAGTCACACGACCTGACTATACCTTACGAGCTCGCTTTACTGTTTCCCGTAGTACGAGTATCTATCTATATGTAATGTGTATGGACTTGAAGTAGGGGTCCTGTATTCGGCATCATTTGCATGCGGAGTAATCTCCACCACCAACTTTGGCGGTTTCCTATTGATACATACATTTGTGTAGATAGAGATACAACACCTTCCCTCAGACAATCAAACAAGCAGGGGTGCGGGGTAAGCAGGGATGTGGACATGTTTTTCGGGCAATGTTGGGGCGTGGTTTCCTTTACATGGATTCCGCGTGCATCCCAACAAGCTGCCCCCGTATCCCCGCGAATATTTTTTTTCCAATAATTTCTGCACCCACAGGGCTCCAGCAGTTCCGGAACACACGAAGTCGAAGCCAACCACAATATGCTTGGATGTTTGGCCAAGTTAGTATGTGGGTGGCCACCTCATGGGTTTTCACCTCCTTATATATTCCACGGTTAAGTCCACTCAGGGGGGCTCAAAAGTGGGTCATAACGTAGGTTGCTAACTACTTGCTAACTTGGCGAATCGAACCCCAAGTAAGTAGAAGCCCCTAATTTTGAGGGGCTGCTCTTTTTCAGGCCTTCAAACCACACAATGGACCCACCACCCCCTTTTAAATAAAGCATGCTAGATAACCAAGATGCTGCTTTTTTCCGTCACTGTTGCTGGTTTTTGGGATAAAGTGCATGGGAAAAAGCAACTGGCCATCCAGCATGCTTGAAAGGAATCTGGGGTTCGGATCCTCACGGAGGCTCAGCGAACTGATTCGTTCACCAGAGAACTGTGCACAAATATTTTGGTCGTTCGGGTTCCCAGGGAATCGTCCGGTTCGTTACTTGTTTTTCTTTGGTTTAGTGCTTCTTAGGTGGTTTAGTAGTTTGGCTTTCCGGATTTTTTACCCAGAAGTTAGTAACCTGCCGGGGATCAGATAACGAACAGCCCAGTCTAAGTATAGCTCTTGAGGGTAAATGGGAAACCTAGGAACACCAATCCATTTGACCCAGAAGTGAGTCACTTTCGGCAGGGGATTGGGATCTGAGGACAGCCCAGAGGACAGCCTAGTAGGTGCCAAAGCGAGTCCTATGAGTCCAATTAGGTCCCCCAGCTAGGTGCCCTTCTCCCCTTTTTTTGGTTGGGAGGGGGAACCCCGACTAAAATAGACAACAGAGAAAAAAATGCTACCCTTATTCTAACCTCTCCAATCTGGAGGAACATGTTCAAGCTTGGTTTTAAAGATCATCTATCACTGGAAACACGCGTTCTGTTCTCCAAGGACCTAGGGACCGAAGCCAGCACGAAACCTAGTATGAGTCCTACGAATGACCAGGCCCTTGCCTGCGCTATGCCCGGCAGCTGCGAAGAGCGCAAGCGGCGGGGCACTTTGCAAGGCGCAGAGCCGCGATGCCCGGCATCGCCCAACGCGTCGCGCGGAGTCGACGTAGACCGTGTCTTGCCCTAAAAAATGGTGGATGTCTTTTTGGTTTTCCTGTACAGCCCAAGAAAAGCGTTCCCTGTGGCTTGGCTTTTCTTTCGGGCTTGGCTTTTCTAATTAGAAAACTCCCGAAGACCTTACCCTTGAGAAACCCGAAGTCGAACCCATTTCCACTACAACCCATTTCCCCCCCCCTACCCCCTGGAATGGGAAGTTCCCCCTCGAATTTACGGCTTTCAACGACAGTTTTTCCCCTACCTGCCCCCCTCGAAGGGGAAATTCCCTGGAACTTTTTAGGGGAAGCCAGAGGGAAACCTCCTAATGTTAACCCCGGATCTAAGTAGAAGCCCTGGTTGATTTTGATCGGGGGGTGTCCAATTCCGTTGAGTGGTTGGATTCAGACCACTTGTGGAGGGAGCACCCCCCTAAGAGTGGGACGGGGGAAGCTCCAGGCGAGGATTGCTACACCTTTGAAGCTTGGATTCCTGAAACTCGGGTGACGTTGCCATAGGTATGAGTTTGCCCCAAAGCTTCCATTGGCTGAATTGTGTTTTTTTTTCTATGTTCCCATATTTGTTGTATTTTGTCCAGGGGTCTTAACCAAATGGAAGGTTGGAACTAGTTTGTGTCAAAGCGAAACCCAAAAGATGGGCGCCAAAGATGGTTTTTCTTCTGCTGAAAGCTATGGATTTGGTCCCCTCCCAAAAGTAAGAAGCTGGATCGGGGTGGTTTGGGGCAGCTTGGTTCCGCGGTTCTGAGGCTGTTCGTTTCCGATACCACCTGGGCAATTTTTGTTCCATAAGAAGTGTCACCATGTCTGAACGAAGTTGGAGCTAGCCGGGGATCGTTTTTCCGGAATTGTCATGGCATCCAGAGCAATCGGAACCCTCGTTCGAAACATCCCAGGAAACAGACCCCCGTGTGAGTTTCTCACTGCCCAAGTTCCTGGCTTTCAACATGTGCGACCAGGTCAGTTTTAGTGGTAAATAAAGAGCTTGGACTTTTTGGCCAATCCACTCAGGAAGTCAGCTTTGGCAAGAATATTTGGAGGAGATGACCAGTTCCTCACCAATCGCAAGCAGGTGCCCAACAGTTCTACTGCCTGGTACTCTGTGCGCCAAATTGTTTGGGGCCCTTCTTGGGAAGGTAACGGACGGCCATCAAAACTCATTGCACATAGTAGCCAGCACACATTGAGAGCAAGCAATCCAATACTCTGACAAATGCACGAGTACAGCTCGGCTAATGGTGCACCACCCACCCATTACACGCACGCACCCACTCCTTCGATAGGCACCTGGCGCTTGCGGCTGAAGGCGCGCTGCCTGAGTGTCATTTGGGCTCTTCAGCTGTAGCGCGGATCGATTCAACACCCCGTGACGTCGGGTTGTGAAGCCTAGAAGCGGGCGAAGACACCAGACTTTCACGAAGGCTTGGCGCAAAACATCGTGTGCAATTGCTCAATGTTCGACTCTTTGCGTTTGCGCTTTCCCTGTGCAGTGCTGTAATGCCACGCGCGTGCAACAATTCATGGTGATGACAGTGCTGTACCAGACGTCCTTTCTTGGAATTGGATCAAGGGGTGGTGATAAAATACCTTGCCACCAACCAACATGGAAGTGCACAAAGCCCCTTTCGAAGAGGAAAGTCGTCTTTCTACAGGGGTCTTTGCACGGCCATCTTAGTGGTTGCAGGGTTTGTTTCGACGCGACTATTTGTATTTTGAAGGGTCATGCTCAGCTCTTGAAAACCTCCGGAGCCTCCTCTGAGAGAGTTGAAGTTAATCGGTTCTCGGCGCTCGGTTCTAAAATATTACCACCAATCAACATGGAACCTGACAGGGGGTCTCTTTAAAAGGCAAATGGTCCTGCCCAGGACCCCCCCCTATCAGGTTCCATGTTAATTGGTGGGATTGTAGTATCCCCTAAGAATCTGGAGCCCTGTGCTCTGCTACTGTTGCAAATGTGATTTCTCCCTGCCAAGTACTTTGATACATCCAGTCAGGGATGACATACTAGGTTCCTAGTAGTGCCCTTTACCCCTTTGTTCGGGGAGGGTTCCCCTACTAAAATAGACTACCGAGAAAAAAGGTGGTACCCTCATTCTAACCTCTCTACTGGAGGACCTAGTAGCGGAGGGACGGATGAGCACTGTGTTCGAGATCCACCCGCTGCATGGCGACGTGGTCCCTTCGGAGCATGCGGGAACATTCAGCTACGTCGCCGACGGGGCTCGGCAAATTTTGATTAGTGTTTGCTAGCGAATTCGATGATAATCCATTGCTGCCTATAATGAGGCCAACCGTCGCCCAACATCTGAGATTAGTTTTGGCCTTGCATCTCTCACTCAAAGATGCACTCATTTGCCCAAAGCAAATCGACCGTTGGACCTTTTTGGTTTTCCTGGCTTGGTCCAAAAGACGATCACCTTCAATGTTCAGGTCCCTTGGGGAAGTGAGTTCAGGGTCAACCCTGCGCGATTGAACCAAAGGGTATTAGGCAGACTGGAGTCACAGAGTCAATTTCTCACTCCCTGAGTTCATGGACTTTGGTCACTTTTGGGGTTTGAAGCATTTTGGTGGCAAAAAAAAAAAGTTTTAGGACTTTTTGGGCCTGCCCACTCAGAAAGTGGGATTTGACTTGGCTTGTCAAGTTTCGCTGTTCACTGTGCTTCTTAAAGCATCGTGCTGTGTTTTCCCCGACTTGGCGGCATCTTCGCGTGTGCCTGGTGCAAGGGCCGCCGCCAAGCGATGGCAAGAGCAAGTCAGCCCTGGAGGATTGCGGCAGGCGGGCGTGTTGGTACAGCCTCACGTTGACTTGACTGCTATTGGGTTGGGATCTTTAGAATTTATTTATTTGGTTGAAATAAAGGTGCTTTTTCCAGTAAACCCCAAAACAGTTAAACCTTTTGCAGGGGGTCAACAGCAACCAAGTGCATGAACCAGAACATTTTCCAGGGTTGGCGTACTTCAGCAAGGTGTTCTTTGGAATGCCAGGGACCTAATGATATTTAGGCATGCTTCCGCCACAGGTTTGGAGTAGCCGCCTCTCCCCCAACATCTTCTTACATAGTGCGGTACTTGGCTTCACGGTTCTTGGCATGTTTAGGAGGTTTCTAGTTTGTTGTTTGTTTTTCTTCACAGTTGTTGGCATGTTCAGGAGGCTTCCGTTTTTTGTTCCAGGTCTGTTCATGTTTGCAGGGGGCTTCAAACCAACAGCTAGTCTTTTTGCCAGCCCACCCCAAGGGTTGTAAAGTTGGTTGCTTGGATCTTTCACCTTACTTTTGGTTGCGGTGTTTTTCCATGTGATTGGTAAATAATTGAGACGGGTTTTCCGTGTAAAGGAAAGAAGTGAGACCCATCTAAACCAGTGGGCTACTCATCCACTTTTAGGGAAACTGTTCGATCAAAAGGACGCCCCTTTGTTTGATCCACTCGACGAGGTCTTGACCATTCGCACGGCTGACCAATTGCCATGTGAGGTTGCGATCCAACCGCTTGTTTTGACAGCAGCTTTCAAGGTGGACGCACCCTTTTGAGACTGGCAAAGTGACGCCAGGGTCACACATTCTTGATGGGTATTCATGGTCTAGTCATGGCACTTGGCCTCGTGTGTGATGGCTTGCAATCGCAACGTCGTAGAACACGCGTGGGTTGATATGGCACATGGCCCCTACCCACATCGCTCCCACATCCGTTGGCGTTTCCGTCGCTGGCCATGGTCTCAAACGTGCATCAAAGCAAGAGTTTTGTCGAGCAATTGGCTCAAATGGTCCCCCAGCTAGGTGCCCTTTCTCAACCTTTTTTGGTTGGCAGGGTTCCCAGACTAGAATAGACTACAGAAAAGAAAAGGTACCCTTATTCGAACCTCTCGACCTAGGCTCGAATTCAAGCAGCATGTGGGTATGGGTCAAAATTAAACCACTCGGGGACCGCAGGTTTTAGTCCATGTTTCCATTTACCAAGGATCCATTTTGGGTGCCATTTTTTTGACCCACACCCATATGAACAAGCACTCACGGTTCAACTAGCCCAGCTTTGAACTGGTTCATCTCATAAACGCTTGCCCCCACGTTGCCATGGCACCGGACAGAGGGTTCCTTAAGGCAATTGATCTACCTTCCCAGACATGCCTTCTCTTCACTGTTCTTGGCATGTTTTTTGGTTTTTTAGTTGTTTGGTTCTGTTCATTTTTACTGGGGGTCTGTAAAAAACAAAGTTTTTTGCTACCATACTAAGAGTAGAGATGTTCTGTTAGCGGGAAGGGTACATCGCAGCACCATTCCGTGAAGGCACGGGAAGCTCTGCAGCTTGCTGTTTGGGGATACTTGGGCTGATTTTCATAGGAAGCTCCCGTGCCGAATTTTTGACTAAAAAAGGACCAACAAGGGCAAGAAACAGGCGAAATCCACAAATAAACGCATCCAAACTGTTTTCTAGACAAGCATTTGGCTGCAATTACCACCACCTAGATAGCCAAGTTGCTGCTTGTTTCAGTCACTGTTGCTGGTTTTTGGGATAAAGTGCACGGGGGAGAGGAAAAACAACAACAAAAAAACGGCAACTGGCGATCCAGGCAGTTGGGATCTTTCCATGGAAGTCCGCAGGTCTGCGACGGGACTGGATGCCGCCGATCAAAACTTGCTGCTCAGTGGAGAATGACCGTTCCGGGTGTTGGGAATGAACCGTTTAAGGATTCCCTTAAGGAAACCAAATCGGGGATGGTTTTTTTCGGGGTGATGCCAACTCATTCCCCTATCGCAAACCAAACTGGGCACAGTTTTTCCCGTGCAAGCAGCAAGAATCGCCAGCGGTCCAGCGGCGCAAAAGGATGGAGAGTCTGCTAAACCGAAAGGATATTTCTGCACGAAGGATTCTTCGAACATAGACAACTGTGAGAAGCAGCGTGGAAATCAACAGTTTCACATTTTGTAAGGAAATAGAAATAGGAACTTTATAAGGACCAATCTAAAAAAAGTGGAACACATCTATTTCTAGCACAAACTCAGCGATCAAGAGGACGCCACTTGTCTTGGTGGCTCCCAGCCATCCGGTTCCTTTGCTTTTTATCCTTTTAGTGTTTAGCGGTAGTTTCCATTAAACTCACTAACAGTTAGTCACTTTCAGCGGGGGATCGGAAAACGGACAGCCCAGTTGTTTTTTCCCCACTCGTTCTTTGGAGTTCTTCCCTGCCCTCCATTTGCTTCAGAATATGTTTCTGTTTTTTCAATTTTCCCTTGTTGGTTTTAAAAGGAGCTCATCACTACTGGAAATTTGTTTTTATTATCTTTTCCTAGGGCATGAACCAAATGGAAGCTGCCGTTCGAAGCAGCAGGAAACGGGTTGGATGCTTGGACATCAAATTCCCGAGCCTCGCAGGCTGGCCTGGACCTTGGCCACCCACGTGGCTCGGCTTTTCGCGAAGTGGAGGGCGGGGAGCTCGTTTTTTGTTTCCTGGTTTTTTTCTTCGGGCCATGTTTCGCTTGCCGGGGAGTGAGACATGGGCCCTAGCATCCAACGGGTTGGGTTCCTAGCCCTGAGAAATGGAACGCGATCCAACTGGTTTTAAGGGGAATCCATCGCTGCTCACATTTTCGTCAGGGGTTTTAGCCTATTAGCAAATGGAAGTTAACTAGGTCCCAGCTAGGTGCCCTGTCTCAGCATTTTTTTGGTTGGGAGGGTTGCCCTATTAAACTAGACAGAAAAATGTTGGTAGCCTGATCCTAACCTAGCATGGTTGTTGTTGGGAAACATTTTACATTTTTGCTTATTGTGGTTTAGAGGGAAATCCCCACTGAATTCTACATTTTAAATTGTTGCTCCCCTTCCAACGTCAACCAAGCTAGGGCCTAGCCTATTCACCCTCCAACTGGGTTCCCTCTTGGGCCCCCTGGGTTCATTCCCTCGTTCCCTACTTGTCGCAGCGATCGCAAGATTTTGCGGTTCGGAGGTAGAGCGCACCGGCGCCTTTTTGGTTTTTAGTTCGGTTCCTTTGGCTTGGTGGTTCCCAGCAGCCATCCAGTTTAGCCTTTTAGATTCTTAGTTTCCACAAAAACCACAACAACTTTTACAGGGCCGCTTAAAAGAAAAACATTTTGCAACCATTTGAATCATGTTGCTTTTTCCACCGAAATAAAGGGAAACCACCATTTAGAAGGCAATGTTCAAGTGTATAATGTAAGGATCCCCGTTTTAGCAGGGGATCTGGGAGAAGTCAAGGTCACGTCAAGGTTGAATGTTGGCAGGCATGTTCGGCATAGCCAACGAGAACCGCAATCACCTTATCTTTAGGGTGTCGGACGGGATGAATGGTCCATGCAAGTCTCAGACAAGACCAGTTCAATCCCGGCGCTTTCCACTGTGGGCAAGTCGTACCAAGGTCTAGCAAAGCTAGGTCCCCCAGAAACGCCCTTTACCCTTTCTAGGGGGAGGGTTCCCCGACTAAAATAGACCACAGCAAAAAGGGTACCCTTATTCTAGCCTCTAGCCTCTGTACTGGAGGACCTAGGCACGACCGTACTGTGGGTGTTTGTCAGAAGGATAGCCCATGCATGTGATTCACCCTGCTATGGGTGGATATTAACGCCACTGAAGGCTATTGCCGCCACTAAAAAAATACAAATATCAAAATATGTTTAATCATACTTGTTGGTTTCCTTTTGGCGTATCAGATGTTTGTACATGTTGTGTCTGAACCCTGCACAGCATCAAGGGACAGGGTTTGGGTTGTGGGGTTTGCACATTTGCGCTCGGCTCCAAAGCTCCACAAAATCATGTATCGCCTGCACATGTCGTCCCTATGGTTCCCCATTAAAACTCAACCATTCCAGTTTCTCAACATCGTGGTGCTTTACAAAGCTGGGTTCCCGTTCGGTAATCGAAACGGGTCCGAACTCCATTGGGGCGTGCCTGTTCTTGAGAGTACCCCTTGGTCTGAGATAAAGTGGAAAACCCAATGAACCCACCCAAACATGGGGATTTGCAGGGGTCCCCGCAAAACACGTGCTGGTTCTCAGGTGGGGAATGACCGTTCCGGGAAATGAATCCCGGTTTTGGGGATTCCCTTATGAAATCACCTGTGTGTGTGTTTTTTTGGGGAGGGGGCTCCCCTAAAACACACTCCAGGCCCAATGAGATAAAGTGAAAACCCAACGAAACCCTACAAATTAGGAAGTTCAACTAAGTTGGCCAGAAAAATGGCTTCATCCATTTCACCACCATTTTGGGTAGTCTGTTGTTGGTCTGAGACAAAGAGACAACTCAATGAAACCCTACAAGTTCGGAAATTTCACCAAGTTGGGCAGAAAAAATGACTGTACCTGGAGTCTCCATGCCCCTTTGAAAATAGGTCCGTGACCCCATTATTTAGGGTAACGACCACATTTTTCAAGGGTCATGGAGACTGTCGGTCCATGGGATCGGATGCTTCCATCTGCAAAGGGTAGGTTATCCCTGCAATCTCCATGGTAAGGGTACCTTCCCCATTCTTTCCAGGAACCGTTCCGGGTGGGAAGGTCGGAGAAAAAATGGGACTTGAGCCATTTCGGGGGGGCAACCCCCCCTACGATCTCCAGGCCCTCGAGCGCTTTCTGCAGCGAGCACCGAGGTGCGGCGCCGCAGCGTGGAGCTCCTGGCGAGAGCCTTGCCTCACGGGGTGCGCGCCTCGGATCCGGTCCGATTCGCTCTCGGGGGTGGTTTGGTCTCTACGGCGATTGGGTCAAACATATTTATACTTTTAACTTTTTGGAAAACCATCATATTTCCTTCAGGGTTAAACATATTTATACTTCAACTTTTTGGAAACCTCTTAAAAGCACAAAACTTTTCTCAACTCTTTGGGGGTGACATGGGCTATATGTCTGTAAAAGATGAACTTCCCCAGGGCTGGGAGTTGTAATGGGGTAAGTATTTATACTTTAACTGTTTGGAAACCCCTCATATTTCCTTTAAAGCTGCAAACAGTTAAACTTTTGCTGCGGGATCTACAGCACCCAAGTGGTGGTTCAACCAGCGAATCATCCGGCTTGACAGAGGTTTTCGGTGTTTTGAGTTGGTGTAGTGGTTTTCGTTTCGAGTTGTTGGGTTTTTGCTTGGTTTGGTACTTAGAATTTCCGAATTTCACCCACAAGTCCGTCACTCTTGGCAGGGGATCAGGTCAAGCCCAGTGTCACGGCTTCCGAGGCTTTGTTGGGCAACCCAAATCTTGGGTTTCCCAGGTAAATACCAACAAACACTGGTTTCAACCGTCGCCCTGGTTTCTTAGGTGGTGGCGAAATGGGTTTCGCAACCATCCACGGCTTTTTGAGGGTAGCCTTTGAGAGGTCGGTTTACAGGGAAACCAAAGCACGACAACTGTTTTGTCGCTCCCCAATTTGGGGTTCGCCTATGTTAGCACACTCCTTCTTCCTTTTGCTCGTTGGATACTTCTGCCTAGTTGGTTTCGTGCTTACCGAGCCGGGGGTATGAGCGCAAGCGATGCTTTGTGTCGAGATCCCGTATTGCAGGTTCCGGGATTGTGTTTTGTGTTGCAGATGGTTCCCTGTCGGTATTGATGGTCACTTTGATGAATCCCTTTTGTTGCCTCTCCGCTGTCTTTTTTAAGAGAAGGGGGCGAGGCAATGGGGTTTGTTAGAGAATTAGGTTTGGCCGACTGGCTTTATTGCAATTCAGCTGGGTGTGGGTCAAAATTAAATCACAAGGGGGCCACAGGTTTTAGTCCCTGGTTCCATTTGCCAGGGTTCCATATTCGGTACCTATTTTTGACCCACCGCCAGCTGGAAAACACTGCAGCGTCACTTTCGGACGGCTCTGTTCGAACAACAAGCTTGGTGGGTTGGATGTGTTTGCGCGTCCAACCACTGGCCAGCACCTCGACCTGTCAGACAGGGAAGATGCCACCCAACAATGTAGAGAAATTTGAAGCATTCGCGGTGTTTCCTTAGTGTTTTTTTGTGCTGTTCTGTGAACAGTAGGGCCTTTTGAAACGACTTGTTTCAGGTTTCTCTTCCACATGCATTGGGAGGGTGTGGTATTTTCTGCCAGTCGCCTAGTTCTCCCTTTCTGCTCTGGATATGCTGAAGTGCAAGGTTCAGAAGTCAGGCCTTGTTGCCGTCCAGAAAGTGGCTATGGTCACAGAATCCTTCCAGAAATCCCAGAAGGTTCTTTGATCTAGAGTCCAGACGGAGCCGCTTGACGGCCTATTCTTGCTCTTTGAGTGGCAGGGAGTGAGTGGGAATCCCAAACGGTTCATTCCCAACACTCCGGGCCATTCGCGGAGCGCCAGCTTCTTTTTTTTCTTATTTTTTTCGTGAGCTGTGATTGTTTTTTTGGGGGTACCTTCCATTTCCATTGTTTCCAGGGATTCTTCTTTCTAGAAATGTTCTGGAAACCCAGGGAGAACGGCGATTGGTTTTTGGAAAGAACGATGGTTGAAAACAATGGAAACGGAATCAACTTTTGGAATCTTAGGTAATGAACCCACATTTGAGTTCCCCTATGTGGGGTTGGCCTTGTTCGAAGGGGGTTTATACCCCAAGAGCACAAGCAAAAACATTTTGTGGGCTGTGACATGTTGGCTTGATTTCATTTCTACAGCTGTGACCTACAGCCTCAGTCTGAAGACTTGCGAAGGGAGTCACCCAAGCAGCCAGAAGTGAGGCCCCGCACGCAGTGGAGTTGATCCTTTGGAAGCCAAGGCGCTTTATTAATAGTAGGTGAGGATTGGATTGCGCAACGGAAAGCAATTCACAACTAGGTCCCCCAGCTAGGTGCCCTTTTACCCTTTTTTGGTTGAGGGTTCCCCTACTAAAATAGACGTCCTGAAAAAAGTTGCTAGCCTTATTCTAACCTCTCTACTGGAGGACCTAGACAACTTTCTGTTTTTTGCCGGGGTCCCTCTAAAATCAACTGCCAAACAAAGAGAGACCTCCATTTGCAAAAAAGAGTACAAGCTTTTCCCCCTTGGGTTTAAGAGGAATTCATCACTACTGGACATATTCATCACTTAATGAATACCTGGTATTTTCCCTGGTTGGTTTTAAAAGGACTCTTTTTTCACTACTGGACTTTTTTTTTCCCTGGGGCCTTAACCAAATGAAAGGAGAGCTCCCTGGTTTCCCCTGGTTTCCCATGCCCGACTCTCCCAGCACAGGTGGACGCGCAGCGGGCAGCAGAGAGTCTTGGCCACCCGGCCGCATTGCAAAAAAATCCCGCGCGGCGCGGCCGACGAATCGCTGTTTTTTTTTTTTTTTTTGTCTTTTCCTTTTTTCCAGATGGGCACCTTTTTCATGGTTGAACAATGGTACCTTCCATGTTTCTTTCTAGAGAACCGCCGGAAACGCAGGGAAATGAGACGATCCATTTCGGGGGTTTTTACGATCCATTTTCTGGTTGGCTCCCAGCCATCCGGTTCCTTAGCCTTCGAGCCATTTAACCCACGGAAAGTTAAGCTTTTAGCGGGGGATCAGAAAACGGGCAGCCCAGTTTTCATTGTTGCTAGATGGGACCCCCAGAAACGGAGGTGTTCTTTTGGGTTCCTTGAAAACCACCAACAAAAAGGGGCACCCTCGACAAAAAGGGGAAGAAAAGAAGAAGTTGGGTACCCCCTAGGGATTTGTGTAGAGAAGGAGGGAGCATGTTTAAGTCGCGTTTTTTGTGGCAGCAGCTACCCTTGAGTTGGTGGTTTGCATTGGTGAGGGTTTGAGCCCCAGTTCCTTTTAGCGCCACAGGGCGGTACCCCGGAACTTCCGAACTACCAAGCCACCAGTTAGGGGCCAGGTGATGGCGGGTAGAGCAAGGGGAGTGTGGAGTGTTGGTGAGGGTAAGTGTACGCTCAAACGCAGCGTGTGTGATGTGCGCGCTTGGTGGTAGTCCATGCTCCCAAACCATAATAATGACAACAACCACAATGGAAAAACGTTCCACATATACTTACCTCTTAAAACACACAACTTTTCAACTTTTTGGGTAACATGGGCTATATGTCTGTAAAAGATTAACTTCCCCAGGGCTTGGAGTTGTAAGGGGTAAGTATATAATGCACAAATCCCATAGGGCAACACATTGTTTTTTTTTTGTGAGGGGGTCTCTGGTTCAAGGTCGCGGTGCCAGTGAAGGTGCTTGACGCTTGATTGAACCCAGCCAGTTTGAATATGTCTTAAACATGTTTCCACTTCCGTGTAGTCGGTCTCAACGCAAAGAAGTCTTCCAGGATGCTACGTTTATGAGAGGTTCAGCAGCGCAAACACTCACTGGGTTGGTTGTTTTGGGGTGGCTTCTGAACGCTTGTTCCCTTCTGTTTTGGCAGGCAAGGAATGGAGTCTAGGTCCCCCAGTAGTGCCCTTTACCCATTCTTGGGGGAGGGTTCACCTACTAAAATCGACTACAGAAAATAGTGGGTAGCCTTGTTCTATCCTCTACTGGAGGACCCATTATTTGGGTGCGGCTCCTTTTCTTTTGTACCCTTGGTATGGCAGCAACAAGGATTGTTTTGGTTGCAGCCTCTTAGTGAAGAAAGCCACAAAACCAACAAGCATGCCAACAACGGTAAAGTTTTGTTTTCTGGGTCCATTGTCTTTGGTTGTTCTTTAGTTTTTAAAGGGGCTAGATTAGATTAATAATTGCATGAATTGTCACATGACATCAACCGATTGTTCACCATTCAAACCCCACTTATATACGTTTTCCTGCTGCCCCTGCGGATTTCCCGTCGGACAACTGCTAAAAGGGTGCAACACAAATGATGGTGGAATGCACATTTTGGGGGCATCTAACATGCCCACTTCACATGTCCACTTGGTCTTTTCGGGTTTCTTCATAGAATCTCACATCCACTTTTTGGGGTTTCCATTGGATTCGGTCTCAAAGATGCCCATTGGGCACAAAGTGACTGGAGTCAATGCAGACTGTTTTTCTTCGAGAAACACATGCCAGAAACGGGGAGTAGTCATTGGCATGTCCAACAGCTCCACTAAAAATGTGAACTGGCTGTGGGTCAAAACTATGTACCCATTTTTGGATCCCTGGTAAATGGAAACACGGACCAACACCTGCGGTCCAATTCCTGGTTGAATTTTGACCTATACCCATAATCTGCTTGAATTTCAGCCTTCCTCCAGGATTGAGAGGTTAGAATAAGTTGGTACCAGCTTTTTTTCTTCTTTTCCTATTTTCGTCTGGGAAGCGAATCTCTCAACCAAAAAAGCTAGAAATGGACATGGACCTCATCCGGAAAGGCTCCGAAAAGGCGAGGCCGTGGAAACCAACAGGAAGCCCGCCGTCTTGCATCTGCATGGACCAAACCCTGCGGTCCATATCCTTTTGACCCATACCCAACCTAGGTCCCCCAGTAGTCCCTTCTCCCCTTTGTTTGGGGGGAGAGTTCCCCTACAATAGACAAAACCGGAAAAAAAGGGAGAAACAAATCGTTGGTACCAACTTATTCTAACCTCTCCAATTTGGAGCACTGGCAACTCTGGCAACATCCGGCTGGCGAGCGGGTCTCCCGAGGCCTGCAGGGCCCGGATGACCTGGAGGCGTGGCTGGCCACGGAGTTCCCGAACCAGGCGCCCGGCTGCGACCTTTTCCGATTTGTTTTTCTTCGGTTGAACGGGGAACATGTGTCGTTGCTTGGGCGGTTTCGGAAAAAAGGATTGGCCGGTGCAACTTGGGTTGTTAGCTGGTTATAGCGGTTTTGCGTTGCCTTGTAGCCAGCCGACTTAGGCTTTTAGCTGTTCTTGCAGTGTTTGGCGCCGCTTTTTAGCCATCCACATATAGGTCTTCAGAGCTGTTTTTCGTTGCTTAAATGTGTTCAGCCGCCGTCCGGTGCTTTTTTGGCCATCCACTTAGGTTTTTAGTGGTTTTTAGTTCTGTTCAGTCGGTTTAGTGGCTGATGTCCAGTTACCCCGCAAGGTTTACTCAGGGTTTCCTCCATGTCCCTTTTCGGAACCTCCCCTGGCGATCGTTTCAATGGAAACCACCAGTTAATTGATCAAGTTTTGATTTGCGGAATCCATTGACCCCTGTTTTTAGTTGCTGCTCAGTTGATTTCCACATGAGTGGTGTTTCCACCTGCACATGCTGCACATGTGAGCATGTGTGGGGTTCTCACCTGAACATCCGTGGCGCCTTTTGAGTGGTTGTGGTTGTTGTTGCGCGGATTGGTCGCATACGCGGAGGCCTTGCTGCGAGGAGACCGCCTGGATTGTGCAAAGGTGTGCGCCTGCTGGGCTTGCCCAACTCGCTTGACGACGGGCATTTGGGATGTGTTGAATGTGTTGTCCCTTTCTTTGGATGTGGGGTTGGCTTTTTTTTTTGAGGGCACCCTTTCTGGGTAGGTTTTACAAGAACTTAAAAGGAAAACCCTCCATTTTTTTTTGGGGGGGGGTACCCCGGAAACAGACACACCCGTGTCCTTGAAGTTGACCTATGGAAGGGAAACCAAAGGTGAGTGATATATATTTTTTGGGGGGGTTCCCTTACAAGACACTTTCTAGAATGTATGTTTCCAGAAAAAGGGGTGCTTCGGGGTACTTTGGAGTGGCTGATATGCTTTTCCAAACACCCCCCCCCCTTGGCACGCCAAAAAACAACTGGATGACGTCCTTCTGGATTTTGATACGATCCCAGAAAGCTTTGCATAGTTTTGCAGACCCACATCTTTATGGCTATTTGGTAACATATCTTCGGACTTGAACTTGTTGGTTGACACTTTGTAGGTTTTCCGCATCAGCCAAGACGGCTGGCTGCTTCCCGGAAGCTACCTGTGGCAATATGGGATGATACGTTCTGCCTTGCGACCCTTCGCCAGGTCCTATCCAATGAAGTCGGGGATTCCAGGGAACACCACTTCAAAGTACGCTTCATGGGGCAAAGCATTCGCCGGATGTTCGCAACACTCAACTGGAACTGTGCCATCTGAGTGGCGACGGCAAAGCAAGCTGATGAACTTCCTTCTTCTTAAGAGTATTCTTTGATTTCCCCTGTTGGTTTCAAAGGGAATCTATCGCTACTGAACAAAAAACCTATTTTTTTGTCAGGGGGTTGTAGCAAATGGAAGTTCATCAGTGGAACTTCTAAGCACGAGCCGATTCCTTTCTGTTGCTGTGCCCCCATGCGTCGAGACGCTCTGTTGGAATCTCGGGGGCGTCGCGCAGCGCCTGTGTCAAAGGGAAGCGTTTTCATGGTGGTTGTTGGGACACCTTTTTCCCATGTTTGATCTTGTGGCTTAGTGCTTGAAATCGAAGCACTCAACTGCTAAGACTTCTTCTTCTTTTTTTGCTCCCCTAACCCAACGTCCACCAAGTTTTGGGGATGGTGTCAATGGGTTACAAAGAAGACTATGCACCTTGGATGCAGTCCATTCGATTCTTGAGACTCGAGAAATATCGACTCGGCGAGTATTTCTAAAGAATTCCGTGAGCATGTCTCTAGGGGTTCCCCATTCTTTCCAGGGATCCTTCTTTTCAGGCAGCCATCAAAAACCCAGGGGAAACAGATTTTGAAAAGAACGATGGTTGAAAAGAATGGAAAGGAATCAACCTTAAGTGACTGGGTCCCCCAGTAGTAACCCCAAAATGTAGTGACGAGGT